TGTGCTCGGCAGCACGGGAACTATTGAAACTAGGAGAAAAAGCCTGATGGGAGTCAGGCTTAGCAGGAGAGGAGCTAATGTCACGAACGTGACTTAGCATAAAAGAGGTTTTCACGTAACACATAGTTATGAGTCACAGGTATGTTATTGTTTCACACATATCACTTATTTGGGTCATATGATTTGTTATGTGTGGGATTTGTGATGCTTTCGCATAGGGCTCAAATATGAGTCATGGGACATGCACCTGGTGAGTATGCCTTGTGAGGGTGCCTTGCAAGTAAGCCTTGCGTATATGATTTATGTTTTGCACATGACCTCGTTATGAGGTCATTGGTTTCGCACACATGACTCAGTCGAGTCATATGACTTGTTTATTGCGTTATAATTGGTTTATGAGATTTTGTACATGACCTCACTATGAGGTCATTGGTTTTGAGCATGTGATCACTTTGGTCACATGAGTAGTTTGTTATGATTTGGTTTCGCACATGTGACCACTTTAGGTCACATGACTACGGGTGGGAAAAATACTATATAAGGAGGCCGATGCAGCCGAGGAAGATAGGTTCTTTACACTTTGTTCTAAGTACTTTTCCTACTTATTACTTTAACGAATATAAAACTACTTTACGATCTTTATCTTTCTTGCAACATTATTGTTATGCCAAGGAAGGCTCTTCATGAAGAAGAATTAGAGAAAACTTACGATACGCGTTTCCGATAGAAGACAAAGGTCTTGTACTATCAGTAATGTAGGCAGAGGCCTATAGATATCGGAAGACGAAGGAAGAAGAAGAAAGAAAAGAGAAGTATCGTTCCCTGTTGCCAAGAACTAACCATCCGAGGAGGGATCTTTACAAAATGAGACATATTGCATGATTAGGCACGATTCGGATCTTGGTGAAGAGCCAGTTCCCCATAAAATATGTTATTGTTAAGATTTCTTCTCTGTTACTTGATGATGTCTAAAGCTTGAGTGGCACTTCAATATTTATATTCCACATCTAAGTGTTCATAGACTACATCTATTTATTATACAACTTTGTACCTCGCTGATTATAACTCACAATATCAGGTATTCTTGAAAGGTGCGAACACTTGGAGACCCAGAAAATCACTACACTCTCTTTTGCAATTACCATATAACTAACTAGAAATCATACTGTTCCAAATAGTAATTATCCGATCATTAGAGCCTTTAGACTTATGGCCTAGTACTCAAGTCAAACTGAGTTGGCCTCAATTGTCTCAATCACTGATGACATGATCAGTTTTATCTGAGGATTGTATCTGCAAAGCTAGTTGAAATTACAACCTTTTTAGGTCACCTGACTTCAACCTTCATAACTCCTTATCCAACCACTAGATATCTTCCAGAGGACTTGCTACTAATTGGCAAAAAACTATTCCACTGGATAGACAAATAATCCCTGGCTTGTCAACCCTTGGTTGCTCTGGATAACAAGGTTTCAATCACTGTTATAGTATTAGAAGTTATTATTGCAGCAATAATGTATTCTGAAACCTAGTTGTAACATTCTGTGAAGTCTATTGGCTTCTATGGTAGTATCTATCAGAGTTCTACATTCTCCTCTTTATTGTAGGGTGGATGTGAATATATTGGTCACTCGTTGAGATCCTTTACTATTCGATACTATCTCATCGTACGAAAACATCCCCTGACTCACGGCTTATGCCAAAGAAGTTACATCTTTGAAGCCTAGTAACTCTCTGAGTAGTTGATAGATTTACTCTGTTCCACTTCTCAGACCTAGCCGAAGGTCCTCTCTCACATAACCTATGAACAGGACCCAGTCAGACTAACAGTAGTGACATATACAGTGTTATTCAGACACCTTCAATCCTGTAGCATTATAGTCATAGGATGCAATTGAGAATGATATGTATGATAACGAGTGAGCTCTGTAAGGAGGCCGGAGGGGGATGTTGGAGACCAGGGATTCTGATTCCAAGTGGGGTTACCCTACTTAGATAATTTCTAGGTATCGGATCCCAGTATTTCTAACATCTTACTCAAGAGCAATGGAAGGAGGAATGAGGATCCTGGCATGATTGGGAATGACATGGGTATTATGCTCGTGAACTCAAGGCATCCTGACATCTCTGCAGCCTTACCCATATGAATGCCTATATTCTCTTAAGAATCCGCAATAGGATGGACTTGGTCAGCCAGACAGCTGTGATTGGAAGGATCATAGACACCATTGGACTGAGTACTGCCACTATGCTAGAGGGCGCTCCGCTAACCAGAACTTGGATAAGGATTTGGAATTCTCGAGGTGGAAATCATGATAGGTAGATTGTAGGTGGTTAGGCCTGGAAATTCCTTATAGTATTAAGGCAGTAGATGAGAAATTGTTCATAGCAGGTAACCCCTTTGGTGGCACACTAATGGTAGCAAGGGCTGGCAGAATGGCAATAATAGGGAACCCAACTACTTGCGCCCTGTGCAAGAGGAAATACAATGGCAGCAGATCTGTTTTACCAGTTACAGTAACCATGCCAAAGAAGAGCTTCTTCTTGCCTAACTAGCGGCAATGTGACTACCTCTGCTGTAGTTCTTCCATCCCTGCCGTAGCTACCCAGAAGTGTGTTACGTCCACTGAATATTTCAAAAGTTGGCCTCGGTGTTTCCAGGCATGTCATGATGGATTTTGGCATTCCCAGCACCAGCAATAAAATGAGTTAGACCTTGCAATGTGAATGTCGGTAGTCTTGAGGTGGGCAAATGTGAATGAGATGTTAAAAGTACCTGGTTGCCTCTTTTGTGGTTTGGTTTTGTCAGGTGGGTATCTGGATCTTGGTTTGCATTATAAGAGGATGGAGGGTTATTGGGATAGACTGTATGTTTCATTTGTTGAGTATGTAGGATAAATTGTGTTGGAGGCGAATGAGGATGAGGATATGAGATAGTGGTCGGGTAGTGGGATGGGAAGATGCATTAACTGGTGTAGCACAAGTCATTGCCAGTGCCCGTGAGGCTATATTGATAGTGATTTTTAGATTTATGTTTGGAAGAAGCAGTCGTGAGTCAGAATGATCCGCAGTAGTGTATTTTAGATATTTTGTTTTATGGAGGGTGGGGGAGACTGGTCATATGCCCGTGTTGGCAGTACTAGTATAAATAAAATTAGATTTAATTCTGAGTACTTTGCCTACTTATTACTTTAACAAATATCAAACACCTTTATGCTCTTTTCTATTAGGACCTTTATTACTATCACGCCAAGAAAACTCTATACGAGATAGAGTTAGAGAAAGCTTACAATAGACGTTACAGATAGAAGGCAGAGGTCTTGTACTATCATTAACATAGGCAGAGGCCTAAGAGCTATTGCACAGCAGAAGAAGATAGAGAAGAAGAGAAGTATCGTTTCCCATCGCCAAGAACTAACTATCTGAAGGGGGATCATTACAGTCAGAATATAATATAATTATGCCTGAATTGTTCCACTCACCTAGCTTTCAACTAAGAGTCATGGTCAAATTGGAAGACCACATTGTCCACTGGAGTACAATAGTGGGGTTGTTCCTCTCCTTCATCTTCATCCAAGTACTGTGCAAGATGCTTTCGGGTCTGTATAAACTGATTTGAAATAACTTGAGTCATAGTAGAAATGGTAGCAGATGCACATGTAGCAACCAAGATAGGTGTCTTGTTGTTATTCATGGTACCAGCTGTTGGGAGCAGAGAGTTCTTGTGGTTTGCTCGTATGTCAGTGAAGAAAATTTTATTGATCGCTGCCCAGATGAAGCAAATGGACCATGATTGCTAAATCCCTCCAGTGTGTGATAGGTTGCCATTCCACTTTTGTTACCCTAGTGTGCCTCTTGCCGAACCAGCTAACTCCCCCTATTTACTCGAGTATTTCCACTGCCGGGGTCCCGAATTGCCACCGCACACCCGACAAATGATGACGCCTAATCTTGGCAGAGGAAACAGATACGCTGAAATCTCTGTCCCCGGAGGTATCATAACGGGGTTGGCAAAGGTAGGGGATATCAGGGGACAGAGGCTTCTGAGAAGGATTAGACTAGCCTTTTCCTGACATGGTACAAGTACTTGTACAAGTTCTACTAGACTCAGATCTCGTTAACTAGGATTCGCAATTTGGTTAACCTGTCAAACTGAGCCTATTGCGAACTGGAGGGCTGATTTCTGTTGGTACAATAAACCCTAATTGTATTCGGGTAGACTAGATTTCAAGAGTTTCGAGAGTGCCGTACCCTAATTTACCGTAGTAGTTTCCGGCGCGGGACGGATCTTATCGATAAGGCCTCCAAATTTTCAGGGACCAGGATGGCATATGCGATGAATGTCATGACCCGAATTGCTCACTCATTCTGCGTTGTATGCCGTACCGGTATACGAGTATGTTCGAGCAATAGCATAGCATGAGGACTCGGAGCGCTTATGGACGAGTGCTCAATACTGCTCGTTCCGGATACCATAATGTTTCCTGGTTTTTGAGTCCTTCCGGCTTCTTTGTTCATGCTTGATAAAACGCGCATAACCCCCCACTTTGCCCCGTACAATTCAGTACGGTCTCCTTTGTGATTTTTCCGCACTGAACGGGGAGAGAAAGGAAAGGACACGATCAAACACCCACCGAGGGAACATCTCGGCATCACCAATTGGGATTCTTCGAACCGGAAACAGTGTGAGTGCAGTTTTCTGGGAACCACAATCTCCCCAACCCCCTGTCCGACGCCTCCGCGAGGCTCGATCCAATTGACGTTTTGCGCTTAATCTGCTGTGCAACGCCGGGTACAGACACCCTCACCCGTCGGACAGAGCTGACATAGTCTACCTAACCCTTTCGGTGTGTCCCACCTTTCTTTCTTTCCCACTTCCTTTTCCGAATTTCCCAATTTTCAGGCCGACCGGAGGAGTTATCAAAGAGGGGCAACAAACGTTGACAGAAAAAGACAATTCGAACTCCAACTCCATCAATTCATCATCCTCTTCGCACCAACCTTATTCTATCACATCCCCTCGCTTTACTTTCTTCAATAGCATCCGCATTCCCCCGTGGATTGATTCTATTTAACCGATTAAGCTATGGATCCTGCAATGCAGTTGCGAACCATCAGAGAATGGTACGCTAAGTTACGGTCGATCCGCGTGGACCTTGTTGGTGATTACGCTGGTGAGGAGTTCTTCATAATAGAGGGGGATTCACTGCTTCGCTGGGTTTTTGCGGATGAGAGGATCGACTTCGATACTGGATTTCAACTTCTGCATGCCGTCTACGTTGTTGAGAGCTTTCTACAGCAGTTGAGCTCCCGGCGGTGTAGGTTTTCCGTAGTTTTCCTGGACAGTGAGTTTTCTCTTTTCATCTTGATCGGTGTTTGCCCAATTGAGCTGATGGGATTAATTAAATTTCCTTAGTTTCCCGAAATGCTTGTATCCCTTTCTCGCCGACGGCAGAACAGAATGCCTGGAAATACCTTTTCGCCCGCTCAGCAATCATCGAGCACATGAAACATATTGATCACCCGCAAGGCCTTGTTTCCTCCTTTGAGAGCCTTGCGGATCCAGAGTTTCGGCGATATCTAGACTCCACTAGACCCTACTTTGTCATGTATCACGATGGTGCCGATGCAATCCATTTCAAAAAAGCCCATAAGAAACCGGATTGGGAGGCTGGAGGTGCCAGCGAACGAGGGAATGGTAACGATACGGAGGGTAATGATGACGCGGATTCCCCACAAACAGGATATGTAGACATCAGTCTTGATGGAGGGTTCAATCAAGAAGGGTTGCTGAAAGCGGGGATCCGGGAATGGATGTCTTTGGGCTTTAGCATTGCTCTTATGAACGAGATCGTGTTCAAAGATAGCAAGGTATGCGTCACTCATCGCCGATTTAGATACTGTGATTGGCCGGTTTTTCTAATCCGTATTTTATCCCCTATAGATATTTACATATGTTCTGGAAACCAATCTTTATACCCTAGAGCCAGTTGATATACGCGTAAGTCCTGCTGAAACGCCTCCTCCTGGACCAGAATACTCGCAGGCTCCAGATTGGAAATCTCTTCGATCCGCGCGGGAACGCCTCGCTGTTGCAGCCGTTGCTCATGCGCTACGGCTTGACGAGGGCAAACACGAGGATCTGGCTAGCATCTTTCTAGTCCATATAATTCTACTGTCCCAACTTACGCTCCCTGCACGGTTCCTCCCCCCCTTTAATGTCGATGAGGCTGTGTCCGCTGCTATCAGCCCCGCCCGAGATTTTTTGAGACGGCTTATTATTCTTTCTGGGGACCTCCTCAGGATCGGTGCTGTTTCCCTCGAAGATGCGCAGAATGATCTGTGCGATTATGTCGACGGCAGGCTTCTGTTGAAACTTATTCTCGTGCCTGAGGAATTATCCGAAGTGGTTAAGCAAAGGTTTTCGGACTTGGCTGATCATGTTGAAACTCTTTGCGGCGAGAGCCTCGAATTACCAATACTTTCTAAATCGGTGAATATATCGTTTACCGAACCTCCCGCTGTCTGGGGGTGCAAAATATTGGCGTTCAGTAACCCGGCATTCGACAAGTACTTGGAGCAAATTAGACTCCCGGGTGACATTTTGGCTGAAGAGGGAAGCGAAGATCATGAGGAGGAGGATGAGCAAGCATATTATGAAAAAACGCATTGGCACAACCCGAGAAATCCTCTCGTTACCGCGCGAATTAGGGCACAAAGGGCGCTCCCGAAGCCGGTGGCGAAAGTGCGAGGAGCCGTAGCAGTCGCACCTGGTGCAAAAACTCAAGATCAGGACAGGGCCGTGAGGCGTGCAGCAGGCAGGGCGCGGAAGTGGGAGCAAGTATACCTGAACCAGATGTATCAGTATGCGTCTAGTTTGACCGATAGTATCGATGGAAGCTTAAATCCGAAGCTTGTGACAGTGGGAGAGAAGGCGAAAAAGCCCCAAGCCGCTGGAAAGAAAACGATGGTCAAGGAGGAAAAGAACGCAAAGCCGAACAAGAAAGATGGTCCGTCTAAAGGGAAAGGTAGCGGGAAGCTCTCCGCCGCAGATATTATTAGTCAAAACAACGCGACAAAAAAGGCAGGGAGAGAAGCAAAGCTTCAAGACTCTTGGAAGAGTATCTGTGATGAGGTCGCAAGCATCAAGGACGACGAAACTGCTATATTACGGCTGGAAACTTGGCTTGCTGCGTCACAAAAGGCAATCGCTGCTGCTGTCGCTGAAAACAAAGAATGGCCTTTCATTGAGGCGGAAGCCCGCCTGTATAAGATCCAGCTTCTCCAGCGGATATGGGTCGGTTATTGTAGGCGCAGGGAGCAGGATCACGGTTATGCAGCTGCCTCCGCCTTGTTCAACGAAGCTCGCCTTGTTCTCTTTTCCGGAGGTATGACACGCAAGGTTCATCAAATTTTAAACAACATATTCGAAGCTTTTGGAATCCCTAAACCCCCGAGCGATCCATTGGCCTCCCTTCCGGACCGAAAAATCTTATTCACCAAAGTGTGGGACGGCAAGTGCGAAGGCTTTGATGTCAAACTTGGTATGACGAGCGAGGAATTCCAACTTTTGCATTGCGGGCCCTGGATGGATAGAAACATGGACTCTCAATCTGACCCACGTGTTCCTTTCAAACCTGACGGATGGCAGAGGAAGGTCTTGGATGAGTTAGACCAGGATAACTCGCTATTCGTGGTAGCCCCAACAAGTGCGGGAAAGACCTTCATTGCATTTTACGCTATGGAAAAGGTTCTTAAGGAGAGTGATGAAGGAGTTTTAGTCTATGTAGCTCCCACAAAAGCTTTGGTGTGTGTTCCTGCTCTCATTCACATTCAATCACTCGCAAAGTTGAATGCTAATTTTTGGTTTAGGTGAACCAAATCGCAGCGGAAGTCATCTCGCGGTATAAGAAGAACTATCGCTATGCCGGGAAAACGGTCTGGGCTATTCATACACGTGATTACCGGATGAACAATGCCAACGAATGTCAAATCCTCATTACAGTCCCCGATATTCTCCAAATAATGCTTATGTCTCCTTCGAATGCCAAAAGTTGGACGCCCCGTGTGAAGCGGATCATCTTTGACGAGGTACACTCTATCGGCAATGCTGAAGATGGTCTTGTTTGGGAGCAATTGCTCCTACTGGCGCCATGCCCCATCATCGCCCTGTCGGCTACCGTTGGAAATCCGGAAGAATTCGGTTCCTGGCTTGCATCGACGCAGAAGTCTGTTGGCGTAAAGCTTACTGTCGTCCAGCACCCGTACCGTTACTCTGATTTACGCAAGTTCGTGTATAGTCCGAAGAAAGGGATGACCTCGTTCGAGGGAATGCCCCAGAAGGTTTCAAGGTTCAACCAGTTAGAAATGGCTGATTACATGCGGGTTGTTCATCCGGTTGCAGCACTTGCGAACACTAAGCAAGGCATCCCGAACGATATGTCACTTGAGCCGAAGGACTGTCTGCAACTTTATTGGGCGATGTCAAAATGCCAAACCCCCGAGTGCCCCCTCCCGAAGGATCTTGATTTTAAGGAAGTTTTCGGCACTGAAGGAAAGGTAGTAACCAAGGCGGAGGTGGTCAAGTGGGAGGAAGATTTGAAGAAAGTCCTTCTCAATTGGATGGAGGATGCGGAGCCTTTGTTTTCGGAAATTGCTAAGCTGTTAGCAGCCGAAGCAGCGAAGACAGATGCGCCGAGCAAGGGATATGGCGATGGTGGAAGGAGCAGCGGGGCGCCTGCCGAGGGAGACGGTCCCTTGGTTGTGGACCTTCCTCCTCCGAGCTGCACGAGGGAGTATTTGACGAAAACTACACTGCCGCTTCTGCAAACACTTCATTCCGCCAACGCTCTACCGGCAATTCTATTCTCATACGATCGCCTCATGTGTGAAAAAATTTGCATTATGATTTGTTCGCAACTGGAGACTGCTGAAAAAAACTGGCGCGAGAATAGTCCTAAATGGCAGAAAATCATTAAGGACTGGGAAAAATACAAGGCTGATAGGAGTTCCCGTGGGTCTAAGAAAGCCAAGGTAGTTCTTCCCCCAGGATCTACCAAGGCAGACCAGATGCGTGAGAATGCCGAATATGATAGTAGCTTCTGGTCTTCGTTCGATCCCAACCATCCATCGCCAGAGTTTTCATTTGCCGATTTTAAGAAACACGCCAAATCGGATTTACAGATTGATATCGATAACTTGATCCGCTGGGGCATTCCGGAAGTGTTAGTCCATGCATTTTCCCGCGGCATTGGGGTTCATCACAGCGGTATGAATAGGTATGTTATCGCTTCCAGTTCTGATTCTTGGCATTGCTAATCTTCGATTAGGAAATACCGCCAGGCGGTAGAGATGCTCTTCCGGAAGGGCTATCTTCGCGTGGTCATCGCTACTGGGACCCTTTCGTTGGGTATCAATATGCCAACCCGCAGTAGTGTATTCGTGGGAGAGTCGGTCTACCTTAATTCACTTAATTATCGCCAAGCAGCTGGCCGTGCTGGGCGTCGTGGATTCGACAATCTGGGAAATGTTGTATTTCACGCCTTCTCGCTTGCGAAAGTCGAGAGGATTATGTCCTCAAAGCTTCCGTCTTTGATTGGCCATTTCCCAATTAGCACTTCCCTAGTGCTCCGCTTGTTCATATTGCTTCACAATTCTAACGAATCCGATCACGCTAAGCATACAATCAATACCCTACTGACACAGGGGAAGCTAGTGATTGGAGGGGGTGAGTTTAAGGAACAGGTCCTCCACCATTTGCGATTCTCTATCGAGTTCTTGCGTAGGCAGAAGCTCCTTGGCTCGAACGGGCGACCACTTAACTTTGCCGGCTTGACTAGCCACCTATACTATGTTGAGAATAGCAGTTTTGCATTGCACGTTTTGCTCTGTAATGGCTACCTGAAAGAACTATGCAAGAACATCAACAAATCTCCCGACAGCATCTGCCTGGAACTGATGTTGGTCTTGGCTAACATATTTGGCCGGGAGCAAAAGTACTTTTCTAGGCATAAATCGCTTCCACCGCTTCCAGCCGCTGCCGCCGAACTCTTGACGAAGCAGAATGAGCGGACTTTGAGGACCTATGTGACTTACGTGGAATCTTTCGTAAAATCATACTGCAAAGATCTGGACAACGTGCTGCCGTTTTCCGGACTTGAGTGTGGTGGCAAGGGAACAGCCGATGAATCAAATGTGAAATCCCGCTCATCGTTCGTGGCACTCTCCGGCCACGGCGACAACTTCACCTCAGTCGATGATCTCACCAGCTCAGTTCGTCGCGGAGTTTTGATCGATGGTGCCTCGGTCCCTCATCTCCGAGCCGACGACTCTTCCACCGTGAACGGATATCTATACTACTTTTACATCCACGGCGATGTCAAGAAACTCGATCAAGAACACGGCATCCCCGCCGGGAGTGTCTGGTTCGTCCTCAAGGACTTTTCACTCATTCTCGCGGCGATAGAGGCGGGTCTGACATGCTTTATCCAAGATGGTCCTGGCGCGTATTACGACTTTAAAGACGAGGGGGATGACGTTGATGGGGATATTCACGAAGATGACGAGGATGACAGAGAAAGTGTAACAACTACCGATGATGGTAGTAGTGGAGTTAGCTCCGAGGCTACGGATCCGGGATTCAAAGGTGTACTGAAGGCGGTCAAGATCCTCAGAGGGAGGTTTGAAGAAAAATTCAAGAAGATGTGGGCCTGATTCTGAGCTCTTTGTCTCTTTTACTTTTCACTTGGTTTTACATGTTTGATTAGCTTACCAGTGCTCATATCCTCCATTCCGTTCCATTCCATCCCGTTTGCTTTTTTTCTTTTTTCTTTTTTTCTTTGATAAAAAGTGAGATTGGGCGAGACGTTTGAGTGAATAGTTACGATGTCATGCGCACGAATTCGAGTCGAGCTGAGCAGTTGTGAGAGCATAGGGCGTTTCAGTGCCCATTTGTTGATAGATGTGTTAGAAACTGAGAATTTAACTGATGACATTGTGAGTATCAATAAGTTTTCTATCTTGGGCATAAGTCATCGTCGGCCGGGTAAAATGCCGCTGAAAATATCAAAATCTACGAAATTTGACCCCAATTAAATCCCAGTGATTCAAGAACCCAACTACCAATTATTACCAAAAATGTAGCTGCAGCTGTGGGTAGCCAATAACCTGGGAATTTAGTTCATGTCTCTCTAGCTGCAATTAATTAATTGTGAATTTAGCCATTCCGGAAGCAGGAGAGGTCAAGGCATCCAAATAATTGTGCCAAGCCTCAAAAAATTGTATGGGTCCTACAGCAAAAGGTATGATACTTGTTTTGAAAACTCCAATTTTCACAGACACACCAACAATGCAAATCACATCTGATCTAGCTGAAATTTGGGTATCATGAAGTCCAATATCAAGGCCTGATACCTGAAACTGATATATAATCAATTGAGGTTGACATGGCATTGTTGCATTGTTGCGGGAATGGCCACTTTGAGTGCGGAGAGGGCAAGTGATGATCACCTTTGTTAGGGCACTTGTGAGAGTATCATGATGACCCAAAAGCCTCGCCCCCGTGTCCTCCCGCGCCCTGGACTAGCTTTGTGTGAACAATTCTTGATGAGGAGTATGGTTGGATAAAATCCACAGACCAAACAAGCGTTCCTGATGGCCAGATGAAAAGGTTCAGGGCGCGGGAAATAGAATAAGAAACAGGGAAGCACTACCGGTACTGTAAACTGGGGTGGGGGTATTTTCGGGCGCGGTAGGTAACACAAGTCCTCACCCCAGCCACCCCCTCTTGGCAACAATACCGGTATGATACCCCTTTTACCGCATCAGCAGGAACACAGCAACTATAGACAACACGCCAGATCTCTCCTAAACTCTCCATTGTGAACGCGGATTGGAAGAATCATGAAACAGAACGGCGTTCGTGAGCAAAACCCGCAAGGTGTTCGACACCGTGAAACTACCCGGGATGAGCGCATCAAAGTCATTACTCTCCATGATGACGCTGGGTGGAATTGGTCGAGGATTGGCCAACACCTGAACATTGATCGAAGAACTTGCCAAAGGGTAAGCGGTTATTGTATCAGCCTGATCTTGCCAAGTAATATACTCAGTGATCTAACATTAAACTCAAAGATCTACAAGCGGGCCAAAGTAAATGGCTCACCCTCGAACCGTCACCGTACTGGTCGCCGCCCGATCTTTGACGATGCCGAGAAGCAGCGGTTGGAGGCTTTCGTGACACGCGACACGAAGACACGGCGACTTAGCTGGGGTGAGATATGTCTGGAAATGGGCTATGCTTGCAGTCCACGCACTGTAAAAAGTGTATTGGAGTCCATGGGCTATCATCGGCGCGCACGCACGCTCGTACGCCTGCAACAACGAACGAGCGCAAACGCTCCCACACAACCACGAACACCCCCGCACCCGAGCACAACCACAACTGCAGATGTCTCCGCGCAACCTCACACGCCTTCCCACGACTAGTAGTACCAACTAGTCGATATGATGCCCGTGCTTGCCCCCCAGCAGTTTGCCGTCGGGACTTCTCCATTCACTACCCTGGAGGGAAGTTTGGTCTTCCCCCTCGCGAGTTTAGACCTACTACTTGCGCGGTGCAATACCGGGTAGCTACCGGTATTTGAGATGGCGCCACCAATCGATCCCCTTCGCTGCTCACACAGACGGTCTATTTCGATATCTCCACGCCAGCAGGTTTATGCTCTCTAGTCCTGTTGAATGGAAATGTGTTTTTGGCGTGGCGTCTACGGTACTGTATGCAGGTATTGCGGGACGTAGAACTAAAGTCGGGTTAGAATGTTAGTCCTGCAGGTAGTGGTGGCTCGGTTTATCGGCTGGGGGCAGGTTGCTGGGTGGGATAAAGATATATATGATGCTTGTGGGACTGGGACTCTTAGGTTCTTCCGGCGACGAGCTTAACACGGAACTAGAAATTGTGACTTAATTACTTTTGTTATCCAGTTATAAGCCATAGCTTTGCTGGAGGTCTTGGTTGATTGCCGATATGGAATATTTGGCGGGTATCAAGACTGGTTGTGCAGGGAAAGCAGCCTATCGTGATACCGCGCGATAGCTCATAACGAGGCGTTGTGTTTGCTATCGTGCCGTAGCCGCAAGCAAGGTGTGCTTGGCGCAAATTTGGGGGAAATTGATTAGGCGGTGTTGAGCTACCCATGAGACACCACCGGAGACCCCGCTTTTCTTCAGCCCTTTGTGGAATTGCAGTAGCTGATTAATGATGCTCCATCATCACCCATCAGTTCCCAGTTTCCGTAGAGAAATGTCGCAATATCACTTCAATGACAACACCAACTCTTTCAATAATACCACCTTTAGTAAAGTGTGGAACAACTGTACCGTTATTGATGACCGGTCTCAAATCTTGATCTGGTTATCGCCACTAGAGCCTAGGTTACGGCACTAAGTTCAAGGCGGTAGGGTCGAAAATGTGGGGGAACCGTAGACAAGGAGGCTTCCACGGCCCGATTAGTCCATTTCACCCTTTAGGAATACCTTCACGTTCATCCTGAACTTTTCAGCGCAGCCCACTCGACAATGGCAGAAACCTGCTCAACTTATCTGAATTCTGGGCAGGCCAAGGCTCTTTCGACTACTCCGTCCTCTAATCTCCGAGGTATACCCTTTCTCGAATATTCTTCTCTATATTGGGGAACCTATGCGGGGAGGGGGCTTTCGGGTTGTGCGAAATTGCTTGCGCTGAAGCTGTTTGACAACAACTATAACGATATATCCATTGAAATCCTCTTGGAAGCGCAGACTTTGCACTCCCACCTTCTTGGTTTTGATAAACTCTCCCTGTTTAGCGGTCTACACTGTGCATCCTTCTTTGGGATCGTTGAGGTTGTGGCTGGTTTAGTAGAAGTGGAAGGTTGTGATATCAGCTAAGAGGACTGTGTAGGTATGATAATACGCCTCTCATGTGGGCTGCTTGGAATGGACGTGAGGGAGTTGTGAAGATTCTGCTCGGACGGGGTGGGGTCGACCCCGACAAACCGGGTCGGCACCTCGGAACACCACTCAATTGTGCTATCGTACATGGAATGGGCACGAGGGAGTGGTGAAAATACTGCTCGGACGCGACGACGTCAGTCCCGGCAAACCAGATAACGACGGCTAAACACCACTCTATTGCGCTGCTCGGAATGGGCGCGTGGGAGTCGTGAAAATACTACTTGGGCGGGACGACGTCAATTCCAACAAACTGGATAATTTTGACCGAGCACCGCTCTGGCAGGCTGCTGAGCGTGGTCGTCCGGGGGTCATAGTGTTTTTGCAGCCTAGCACTTGTCATCCCTAACACGGCCTAAGACCGAGGAGGCACTGCCTTCCTTACCACCATACAATGACCATAACAGCTCCATAAACACGTCCGCCACCGCCATTGTCCCCACCTCATTCCAGCCCCTCCTCTGGCGGTTCACAACGCCGCTTTTTTGTAGCCACTGTCTTTTCTTTCCCCCCGGAGCAAGCCCATCACCGAGATTCAACTCTATTATTTTCTTTTGGTCGCAGGAAACCACATGCGACGGAGTGCACATATCTATCACGCACCTGTCCAACCATTCGTACCGACTTTCTTATGTAGTTGAGTGACGATTTGTAAATTTCTGTTTGCGATCTAACTTAGAGTTTGGCGTTGGTGGGGGCTATTCTATCGTATTGAGAACAACCGTTGTGGCTCAAGATTTCAATTGTAAAATTTCCTTTTATTGTTGGTTCCTATTATACCTCTAATTGTCTTTTCACATTTGTGCCCCGTGTTTTCTTTGTAAAACTCCCTTTAATCCTCTCTCAAGTATAGCTGCAGGTGTTTAGATATAGACGTAAGAATATAGAGTAAGCTTATTTTAACAATTGTAGGAAGTCGTGCAGAAGCCAGCGGTTCACCAAGGCATGGTGGTCGGTTTCTACTAAAGATGCAGTTTAATGCCGATCGTGCATACATGCCACTGCCCTCCAGATGTGAGCTTCGGAGCGAGGGAGGGACGCCGCCCACACTTCCCAGTTTTGCTCGCCACGGAAATTCAATACCACAATAACGGGGACAACTCCCATTATCCGAGTGCCACACGAACCGGAAAGACTCTGCGGCCAAACCCTCTAGCGTGGTCTCAGATATAGATAGATCACCCGTATGCAAACTCACCATGCGAACCCCTTGCTATTATTTGTGAAGCGAGTGATGGAATATGATGCGTCGATGCCATATTGCGAGAATGGGAATATTTGATATCTTCACCTTTCGGGGGTGTATGGAAATGGGTTGTGTCAAAGAACCGAAGTCTCTTTTCGGCTATTTGGTCCAGCATCACTGAGGCATTAAGTTTCGTTGGACAATGTCAACTGATTTGCAGTGATGCCTAGTCTAACCCTCACACTTGCTAGCCACATGTCGATCTCGACGTCGTTCATTGCGACTCCTTGCTGGCGAATCTGTCCTATTCTAATACCACGCGCCCCAGCCTCTGCCACCTCAGCGAGCCAGAATCGTCTCATGCTGTTGGTTACAATCCAAGTGCCCGCCATAGTTGCCACGGCGGTCATAAGTAGTTCCCTACCCCTTGGACCAAAGGCTGAAAAGTATTGTTTAGCAGTTAGTACACAGGATATATCAAGACAGTGGGATTTCTAAAACAAACCAATTGTGCGTAGCATGGTGTATCAAACGTATGGCGAAGGGAAAGTATGAGATGTTCGCGGTTTAGATATCTAGGAGGTCAGTGGGAACAAGACCCTTGAAGTACTAACGAAGGAAAAGTATGTACTCGAGTATGGGTTTGTTTGTGGTTCGGATACTTGACAGGCTAACCGGGAAAAACTAGCTTTAGGAATCCCAGCACCTCTGCCCCGTTGCCCGGCCAGTAGACTAGGCTGTTCCCTTAGCAAGGCGGAGGCCTCAGTGTGACGCAGTACCGCACTAGCACATTTCAAAAGTATCCGGACACCTTG